GTCTTTGACACTTCATGTGCACCAATATGCAGACTGCATATAGCTAGTTTGAAAACTTAGAGATTTGGATTTGATTTCTTGTGTTTTTTGAAGTCCTTGGGGTCTAATTAGTAGGAAAAGATCAAAACTTGAGCCAAAAGTTTGTATTTGAAAAAGTTGTCTATAGGCCATATTTGCCTCTATGGCCAATATGCATTAAAAATGTAAAAAATTATTTTCTGTACTATGGCAGATATTTGAGTTCTGTTTTTTCTGACATGTCCAGATAGTCCATGTGAATAATGGTGCAAAATTTCAGCATTGTAGCTTTGTAAGTTTTGACACAAAAAATTTATTTGTCTTTGAACACTTCATGTGCACCAATATGCAGACTGCATATAGCTAGTTTGAAAACTTAGAGATTTGGATTTGATTTCTTGTGTTTTTTGAAGTCCTTGGGGTCTAATTAGTAGGAAAAGATCAAAACTTGAGCCAAAAGTTTGTATTTGAAAAAGTTGTCTATAGGCCATATTTGCCTCTATGGCCAATATGCATTAAAAATGTAAAAAATTATTTTCTGTACTATGGCAGATATTTGAGTTCTGTTTTTTCTGACATGTCCAGATAGTCCATGTGAATATTGGTGCAAAATTTCAGCATTGTAGCTTTGTAAGTTTTGACGCAAAAAATTTATTTGTCTTTGAACACTTCATGTGCACCAATATGCAGACTGCATATAGCAAGTTTGAAAACTTAGAAATTTGGATTTGATTTCTTGTGTTTTTTGAAGTCCTTGGGGTCTAATTAGTAGGAAAAGATCAAAACTTGAGCCAAAAGTTTGTATTTGAAAAAGTTGTCTATAGGCCATATTTGCCTCTATGGCCAATATGCATTAAAAATGTAAAAAATTATTTTCTGTACTATGGCAGATATTTGAGTTCTGTTTTTTCTGACATGTCCAGATAGTCCATGTGGATATTGGTGCAAATTTTCAGCATTGTAGCTTTGTAAGTTTTGACGCAAAAAATTTATTTGTCTTTGAACACTTCATGTGCACCAATATGCAGACTGCATATAGCTAGTTTGAAAACTTAGAGATTTGGATTTGATTTCTTGTGTTTTTTGAAGTCCTTGGGGTCTAATTATTTGCCTCTATGGCCAATATGTATTAAAAATGTGAAAAATTATTTTCTGTTCTATGGCAGATATTTGAGTTCTGTTTTTTCTGACATGTCCAGATAGTCCATGTGAATATATAATTTCAGCATGGTAGCTTTGTAAGATTTGACGCAAAAAATTTATTTGTCTTTGAGCACTTCATATGCACCAATATACAGAACTGCATATAGCTAGTTTGAAAACTTAGAGATTTTGATTTGATTTCTTGTGTTTTTTGAAGTCCTTGGGGTCTAATTAGTAGGAAAAGATCAAAACTTGAGCCAAAAGTTTGTATTTGAAAAAGTTTTCTATAGGCCATATTTGCCTCTATGGCCAATATGCATTAAAAATGTAAAAAAAAATTGACGCCCATATTTTTTTAGTTGAGTTATGTCTAGATCGTTAATGTGGATGTTCCCTGAAAACTTTGGAGAGTAGCTATCATAGTTTGGAATTCTATTTTCTCTTTTTTCAAGGTTCCCCTATAGTTTTAACTTAAAGTAATTGTTTTTTTAGTTTGATTTTAACTTTTAAATTTTTAATAAAAATGCGTATATTGCTTTTTCAGAGCCTAGAAAGAAACAACACGTTTCGGACTATGTAGGGTTAAAAGAAGGTTTACTGAATAGTAATCAAGACAATAGATTTTAATCCTAACAATGATTGTAACTGAAATTCACTCCTAACTAGTGACTACTCGCTCAGTCAGTTTGCTTCGTTTATAGCAACCGGTAAGTTGACTTTTTGAAATTCTATAAAAATTGATATCAATTTCAATAAATGACCCCCAACCCCTTTCCCCCACCCGATTTGCCATAAAAAAAAGAATATTTATATTACATGTAAGACTCATAGGAAAAGTGCATTGCCAATTTTCGTTCGGATACGGGACTAAAGACAAAGTTTGTTTTTGAAATGAAATTAAATGAATGGAGTTTTACGTGTTACTTTTCCTGCACCATGTGGGCAAATCGGTGACTTTGGTTCTATTTCTCAAATCACTATTTTGCATTTTATAAATATAAAGGAAAGTAAGCCACAACCCATCCCCCATGCCTTATTTGGGGTTATCCTAATAACAATCACAATTTGATATTGTGTGTTATTTTAAGAATGTTTTGCTTATACCGTTTAGTTAGAAATTAATGTAATGCACTAATAAACTTCTTTATCTCTTGTATTTTCTTCATGATAATTCCCTAAATGTATATATGAATAGTTTAACTGTTTGTCGAAACGAACCATTCAATTTTAACCAGTGTCATATTTATGTAAAAATACAATCACAATGACATAAACTTGCGTAGAACAGTGGGTATTTTCAAAGAGATGCGTAACCATTCAATATATTATTATGTTACACATCTTCGCCACTATCTTTCTACTGAACACATCGATAACATTTTAATTTTGATGGTTTTTTCTTTTTGTTTCAGGTCAGGGTGCTCAATAGCCGTTTTTACTATTGAGTTCATACACTATGGCTGGGATACCATTCCCAATGGAGGTTAGTATATCATAGATGCACATTATATAATACTTCACAATAAAACAGAAAATCAAAACTAATGGTTAATATCCTCCTCAGACCCAGGGACATTTATGTACATACACCAATGGGCCCAATTATGACAAATGTAAAACAAAAGGTTTATATTTATTTTCTTTTATTACTATGGTGTTTTTTTTATATTTCAGGGTTTCAAGTATAGTAGCTCGTCTTCAGCTACGGACAACATGGTTAGATATGGTGTGCAACCTAGGTTTTCGGAGGTAGTTCGCAAGGAGCAAATTTTTCGCGTTTTCGGGTTGGGCTCGCGTGCAGTTTAGTTGTGGCAGCCTGTGGGCTACCTTGCTAGGGCCACCTAGGTTGTACTCAGTTAAACCACCATATCAGGTCCACCCAGCCTCTCTTGAAACAAATGGAGGTAAGTCAAGTATCATTTTCATTTCATAATAGTCAGAAACTTGTTGTAATTCTACCTTAGTCGATTTAGAAAAGGTGTGCGAGTTTACTTTATGTATAACCTTTGATTCAGTAGTTTAATATCATAATTATTTTGCAATAAATCCCACTTTTCCAGTCAATTTGAGCAGTAAAAGTCGGGTCTATATGGTATAACTATTCAAATCTAGTATACAGAATGACTTCAGCACAATTTTAAAACGAATCTGACTGGTTGAGAATTATTGATGGGAATACTAAAGGATCAAGGGTTAGATAAGTGTAGCTCGTTCACCTTTATTTAATCAAGCTGAGCCTGATCGGTTGGCATAATCAGAAAAATTAAACTTGTGGGAGGAATTTTCCCTCGAATGCTGGGGTTCAGGATAATGTTTTGCTATTTAAAACATAGGCAATAGTTCTTGATTGGTTTAAGATGAAAAAGTAACTTAAAAATGGCAAAGTTGAAACATCCTGATTTTCTATTTTTTCTGGCTCGGCTCTGTCAAAACTATGTAGAAATCAACCAGTTTCAGACTAATACCTAATAACAAAAACCTGCTCACTATTCAACAATACGATCGTGATTTTGAGAGGTCTTTGAATGAGTGAAGTAACACACTGAAATAGATAAACAAAATATATAAATGTAGACTGTCAATATCGATTGAAAAACCTCTGGTGTCAATGATCTTAACGTGCACCCCTAAGTCGTCCAACCTATTTTAGGGTGGAAATCATTATATCAAACAAACAAATATACAATATATATTTTGTGATGAAATAAATATAGTATGAAATATTTGATTCTAGGTGTATACAGATAGAGCTTCATTATATAGGAATAAAGTGCTTATGGTGTGGCATGGAAGCTCCTCGTGTAAGTTTCAAGTTATCATATTTTACCATTCTGTTAATGCCTGTTCTGGCATATGCATAAAGTTGTAAGATCTTCAGTCTTGGTGGCTCATTGTGTTACAGACTTTGTGTCTGGACATGGAAAAAGGAAAGTCCTTTAATTCATTTTAGTTTCAAATTGACTGACAAACATATTATTTTGATAATAAGAGATGGAACGCTTACTCTCTCCCTCTCTCTGTTAACACTATGTCAATCTTTTGAAGCTAATGACGGTTGTGATTTCTAATTAAGAATAGTTACTTTGTATAAGTCATCGTTCCCATTAACATGCATCTTCTTTGGAATACCACAGAAATAAACGTTAGCTATAATCTTATATGGACTTAAGTTGCCACACCAAGTTGCAAAGTGACATCATGGTGATAATTCTGTTAGTGTAAAGGGGAATATGAAATTGATCTTTGTCACCCTGTCTGTCTGTCTACTAATCAGTTCACACTCGTTGTACAGTTGTTGCTTATAATTTAATGCCAATCAAATGCTGATTTTTAGAGCTGAAATAGTTACTGATTTTTATACGCCCACATGGAAATGTGGACGTATATTGCCGTTGCCCCTGCCCGTCGGCCGGTGAACACAATAGAGAATACAGTTTTCAACTGATTTTAATGAAATTTGGTGTGATCATTTATATTGATGAGATCTTGGACATTTTCGAATTTGATATTTCGATGAACGGTCTTTCAGTTATTGCCCTTGACTTAGGAAAACGCGTCTAAATTTGTTTGTGAACACATTAGAGACTACAGTTTTCAATTGATTTTAATGAAACGTGGTGTGATCATGTATATTGATGCGATAATTTGATGCAATTTATTATTGATATTGATTTTAAAAAATTTGGTTGAATTTCTCTCCATAAATGACTGGCAGTAAATATATATATCATTGAATTCAAACTATTAGAATTTCTTAAATATGAGAAAATTCATACTTTAGTCATTAAAGCCTGTTTTATCATTTGTGACAGCTGCCAGTTGGCGTATGTTACCTTGCCTGGCAAACTATCTTTTAAGTTATCAGACGGCACCCTGTCATAGATATCGAACAAAAACATTAATTGTCCTTGTTCTTCGAATCATTAAGGGGATCCGAACAGAAACAGGGCCTCGTTTTGTTGAAACATTGCTTGTGAAATGTACTGCTGTGTTGGCGACTGATTGTATGTTTTTGTTCGTTACTATTTTAGTTTAATTCATTTCAGGTTAGAAAGGGTAAATCGTCTGGTAATTTACCTACCCACTAATAGCACTGCCACAATAGGAGTGTTCTGGGGTCATGGCCTGTGTGACTCTACAGATCCTCCTATTCACAGATGAAAAACAGATGAAGCGGTGCGCGCGCCAACAGATGAAGAGGAACAGATGAAGAACAGATGAAGAGGAACAGATGAAGAAGTAGGGCGATTCCTCCGCCGAATTTTGGTAAGTTGATCTTGAAATTTTTGAGACTGGCTGTAGCTCATTTAATTTGAGTCTTGGAATCTTAACTTCATTTGCTTTCCATCTAACAAATGATACTAAATGATACTTAATGTAATTCAAATTCAAATTTGAATTGGAATGGATGATTTTTTCACCAATTTTGATAAGTTGATCTTACAGATGAAAAAGTAGCCGTGATTCCTTAAACCGTTATTTAGTAAGACCTCAAGTTTCAAACATTTGAAAACAGACTACTTCATTCATTAGAGTGCTGGAATCTTGAATTCATTGGTTTTCCGTGAAACAAATTATGGCATATGGTTCTATTATAAAATGATAAAAAAATGCTGATGATTTTTAAGAATTGATTCGAGTCAACCTGTCTGTAAATATGAATATACATTGAGGTTTGACCAATACCGAGTTGTTACTCTTGTAAAAAAGATCAAGTATTTTTGTATATTCTTATTGATGTATCACACCATAAAAGGAAGTAAATACTGTTTGATGACGTCAATAATCGTCAAATATGCTTATATTGCATCGTGCAATTCAATGCTTTCAGTGCCTCCAATACACATACGTTCTTTTTAGAAAACCTCTTTACGTTGCTTATAGATCAAGACCACTCTTTGCATCTGATTTTCACAAATCGTCTACAGGGTAGAATTGATTTTTGCTGACTATATAGAGGTGGCGATTGCTGCATGCGATGCAGGTCTTGCTTACTCTTTTTATACGCCCACACGTAAGTATGGGCGTATATTGCGGTTGCTCCTGTCGGTCCGTCCGTAAGTCCGTCGGTCCGTCCGTCCGTCCGTCGGTCTACCGTCCGTTCACATTTACTTCGAGCTCACTCTACCGGCTACAATTCTCTTAAAGATTCTTTTGATCTTTTGTATGTGTGCCAATATCATTATGAAGATGTGCACTATTGAATTTGGTGAAGATCCAATGATTTTCTTCAGAGATATCGCATAAAACTCTGATTTCGCGTTGGTGCGTCCATTCACATTTACCTCGTGCTCACTCTACAGGCAACAATTCTCAATAGATTCTTTTGATCTTCTGTATGCGTGTCAATATCATTATGAAGATGTGTACTATTGAATTTGGTGATGATCCAATGATTTTCTTCAGAGATATCGCAAAAAACTCTGATATCGCGTTTGTTTGTTTGTTTTTTCACTTTTTTGGCTTGTGCTCACTCTACAGCCTACAATTCTTAATGGAATCTTTTGATATTTTATATGTGTGTCAATATCATTATGAAGGTGTGCACTATTGAATTTGGTGAGGATCCGATGATTTTCTTGAGAGATATAGCATAAAACTCTGATATCGCGTTTTTTTTTCACTTTTTTCGCTCGTGCTCACTCTACAGTTCACATTTAGCTCCTTATCAAGCTGCTGGTGGGCGTATTCCTTTGTGAGACTTGCCGCAAGCCTAGGTTTCAAATGCTGCCTTTGAATTCAAAGCAGTTAAAAATTATGTTTTCATTATGACATTTTTACCTTTTGGCGTAGTTACCTGCTACCTGCAGTGGCTCAGTGAAAACTTGCTAACCTGAAATCCAGGGTTTCATCGAGGCATACATAGAGATAATAACTGCAAAATTTTCATTAAAGGGGAATGGGGGGAGGTTCTTGATTCCTTGGACATATTTGAACTTATAAGACCTAAAAGCAAGTCGTTACAATGAATGTATCCGGCTTGGCTGAAACTATCCCTTCAACCCGAATTATCCTCATTTAGTCAGTTATTTACCCATATTCTGAGAGGCTGGCACAGTCACTGCAGCCACAAGTTGGTTAAGCTGCTATAGGCCTGATTGACTTTTGTTTACTATGACTGCTTCATGCACACTTACATTATAAAGTATGTAGCTAATGAGATGGAATTTTAGGAATATTTGTATGCTGAAGTAAATCATGCATTCTTTAAAAAAAAATATTCATCCGTTCATTCTCAAATATATGCACAAGGTCTTTTTTAAGGTCAATTCAGAGTGTTTGGATTTTTACACCCACCGGTTTCAAATGTCAACAGTTACTAGGTAGGTAGGTAGATGACAAGTTAACGTTCGCTTCCAGCGGATGCTGATATCGCAAACTAGGTAGTTGTTGGTAGTCGTAGTAGTTGGTAGTTGGATTTCAACAGTGACTAACAGCGGCAGCTAATTATAGCAGAATACAGGTTAAGAGATGAATTAACTGTAATCTGAAGCATTGTGATTTGACTGTAAGGGAGATAATTACTCTTTTGCTTAGGAGGCTCATTCAGTCTTTTCTTATTTAAAAAATAATACCTTTTCTTGGAATTTACTGTTTTATATGTCTATCCACAGGTAAATTATCGCTTTTATTTATCTTAAATCTATATCCATGTCCATGCTCAAAGTAGGAATAAGTGTTGGCAGTTTTTGTACCTGGTATGTGAAAAGGCAGTAAAACTATCATGTGGAGAATTTGGCCTTTTCGTATGACGTGAAGGTTATTTTCTCGTGAATATGAATGAGTAGAGGGGGTCAATCTGGATACAATGCCCTGCAAATTTCAGCTTTCTGTGGCATGTATTTGAAATTGAATGTTTCATTGGTATAAATGAGCAAAATTTAGGTAATATACAGTCAAGTAACCTAATTTCGTGGTAACCTATTTTTCGTGGATTTCCGGAAATGATTAATAATTTACATGTGCAACCTCGCGTGACCTCCTCATTTGCTTGTTTTGATAAACATGGATTTTCTGTACAATATCAGCTAGTAGAATGAATTCAGTAGTTTCAAGCAAAGTAAAATGTATTAATGTATACTTTGACAAATACAAAATGGCGGATTTCACTTATTACCAAACGTCACCATTTTTTATCGGCCAAATTTCCTTATAATCCCAAGCGGTAATCGGATCAAGTGTCGCCTACTAAAACGTAGTCCAACAAATGAAGTCAAGTGATCAACTAGTGGATTCCGTGTCAGCAGAAAATTTCTATGGAACACAAAGTGGATCATATTCTTATGTTGTTTCAGTGACTTTTAGCAATAAATCACTCTACATGTATCTTATTTTGGTTCTTTGAAGGAATTGTCACTAGTTGTAATGAATTGATATTAAAGATAGATACTGAGGAAGTTAATTATACCACCCGGTATCCATACAACGTGTTTTTCTAGACTTATTTATAGATCAAACATTGTACAAGAAAATAGGTGACGCATTCTGCCGCCGTTGCCGAGTTGGTTGCGCATGAAATATGGGTCAAAGTGAAGGATTCATAAAGAAAATCGAAATAAACCAATTTTAATTATTTTTTAGAATATCTGAGGAAACATCTAAGACATAAAAAAAAAATTTGTTTTTTTAACTTAGACGAAATTTGGTGTTGAATCCTTATATCCACGAAAATAGGTTACACCACTGTAGTTATGTAGCATATTTCAGCTTTTCAAGCTACCATTTAATAGATTTAAAGTTTATTTTGATTTGATGCAATTTCAATTTTTAACTACTTGACGTGGATGACGAGATATTTCGC